CCAGGCCGTAGTAGAACATGAGCCCCCAAACGAATGGATGGAGAGGGAATCCCAGTCCGCGGAGGAAATGGGTGAGGAACACTACCCTCTCATGGGGCCTGGGGGTGGGGATGAGTTGTCCCTCTTCTGGGAGCCGGTGCACGATGTCGTCGGGCAGGTATCCGGCTCTCCTCAGCTTCTTAATGTGTTCCTCCGTGACACAGGAGACCATCCACTTGCCTCCCGCTCCGGACATGGTTGGAGAAGGTCGAGGTGGGGAGTGCGAACTTGGGCGCTGGAGTTCGAGTGTGCGAAAATGGATGAGCAAAGAAGGAAGAAGGCGTGGATGAAAAGGTAAATCCTTATCCCTTTATATGGGCGGACGAAACTATGCGTCCCCACTAGCCTGGTAAAACTCGCTTATCCCCCAAGCACCGTAATCGATGGCGTGGTTGGGTTACCCACACCCTTATTGATGAGAATCCCGTGATAAGGTGACACGATCTCTGTTTTGACAAGACGTGTCAAAAAACTGCCTCGCGTTATGTGCGGGGCTAGTTAAAGGAAACAGTTCGAATAATCACCGGGCCGTGACATAATGTCGTGTTGCCGAAACAAGTTAGCAAACTGGATTTGTGAAAATATTATTCTCTCTATGGTAGTATGTGGAACTTATTTTGTAGGGTCAGACACTATCCTTATATTCAAATGCTTCCGTGGTGAATTCGGAGGAGGAACCCGCCTTGCAATGCCGAAGACAATACTGCGTGCCGGACTCATCGTCATTGAAAACCTGGTCCAGGGGCTACTGAGGGAGTCCTGGATTAGGGGGTCTCCGGACAGTCGGACTATATCCATTGGCCGGACTGTTAGACTATGAAGATACAAGATTGAAGACTTCGTCTCGTGTCCGGATGGGACTCTACTTGGCGTGGAAGGCAAGCTACGCAATACAGATATGTGTATCTCCTCCTTTGTAACCGACCTTGTGTAACCCTAACCCTCTCCGGTGTCTATATAAATCGGAGGGTTTTAGTCCGTAGGACAACATACAATCATACCATAGGCTAGCTTCTAGGGTTTAGCCTCTCTGATCTCATGGTAGATCTACTCTTGTACTACCCATATCATCAATATTAATCAAACAGGACGTAGGGTTTTACCTCCATCAAGAGGGCCCGAACCTGGGTAAAACATTTTGTCCCCTGCCTCCTGTTACCATCCCCCTTAGACGCACAGTTCGGGACCCCCTACCCGAGATCCACCGGTTTTGACATCAACACACATGATCATACCTAGATATTCTCATAACTATGCTCAATTCTGTCAATTGCTCAATACTAATTCGTTCACCCACCGTAAAATAGTTATGCTCTTGAGAGATACCACTAGTGAAACCTATGGCCCCCGGGTCTATCTTCATCATATTAATCTTCCAATACTTAGTTATTTCCTTTGTTTTTTACTTTCCTTTTATTTTACTTTGCATCTTTATCACAAAAATAACAAAAATATTATTCTATCATATCTATCAGATCTCACTCTCGTAAGTGACTGTGAAGGGATTGACAACTCCTTATCGCGTTGGTTGCGTGGAGTTATTTGTTTTGTGCAGGTACAAGGGACTCGCGCGTAGCCTCCTACTGGATTGATACCTTGGTTCTCAAAAACTGAGGGAAATACTTACGCTACTTTGCTGCATCATCCTTTCCTCTTCAAGGAAATCCAACGCAGTGCTCAAGAGGTAGCAGTAGGTGTGGGCGAGAAAGGTGGGTTTGTATCCCTTTATAAAGGCGATGAATATCGAACTGAAGGAAATATGCCCTAGAGGCAATAATAAAGTTGTTATTTATATTTCCTTATATCATGATAAATTTTTATTATTCATGCTAGAATTGTATTAACCGGAAACTTAGTACATGTGTGAATATATAGACAAATAAAGTATCACTAGTATGTCTCTACTTGACTAGCTCGTTAATCAAAGATGGTTAAGTTTCCTAGCCATGGACAAAGAGTTGTCATTTGATAAGCGGGATCACATCATTAGAGAATGATGTGATTGACTTGACCCATCCGTTAGCTTAGCATGATGATCGTTACAGTTTCATTTGTACTGCTTTCTTCATGACTTATACATGCTCCTCAGACTATAAGATTATGCAACTCCCAAATACCGGAGGAACACCTTGTGTGCTATCAAATGTCACAACGTAATTGGATGATTAAAAAGATGCTCTACAGGTGTCTCCAATGGTGTTTGTTGAGTTGGCATAAATCAAGATTAGGATTTGTCACTCCGTCTATCGGAGAGGTATCTCCGGGCCCTCTCGGTAATGCACATCACTATAAGCCTTGCAAGCAATGTGACTAATGAGTTAGTTGCGGGACACTACTAGGAAAAAGGCTACTAGTAGCGCGGGTAAATTGGCTACTAGTATCGCGCTACAACTAAAAGTTAGTAGTAGTGCGGGGTAAACCCACACTACTACTAACATTTTACTAGTAGCGCGGATGTCACACGCGCTACTACTATTCGAACCCGCACTACTACTGACGAAATAGTAGTAGTGCGTCTAGAACACCAGGCGCTACTAGTATACTAAATACTAGTAGGACACAATTTTTTCCCACACTACTAGTAATGAATTAGTAATTAAAAAAATAAAAACATAAAATGCTGCAGTACAGAAAATAGTCTAGGCAAGCATGTGCTACATCATATTTGGATCTGAATCTGACACTCATTGACGCTACTCAGTTAGGATTTTGGAGTGTAATAACGTTAATTACAACTCAAATCATTAATGGTAACTACACTTAAGAGGACACCTTTCAAGGCTACCCATATATTGGCACAACGTGGTCGTGGTCCTCATGATACAAAAAATGTGAAGTAATAGATCATACTATTTCAATGCTGTGATTGAGATAAGACTATAGTGAAAGAATGTGGCAGTGGTCTTCGGTGCTTGTGATTACGATCATTGTCGTCATTACCACTAATTTCAAAGTTTTCAGTATCTCTAGTAGCTTCTGAATCGGTGGAACTACTTTCTTCCTTTGGTGAAGGAACTTCTGTTTTGCCAACATCCAATGCTTGAGCTATTAACCCTTTGTGCATCTTCACGATAAGCAAATCAGCAGGAAAAAAGTCAACTTGGCATCTAGATTTTATCCATTGCCCTCCGTCCCTGACCATGTTCAACAAACACTAAATTTAGAACACTACTATTGTAAATAGATGAGACATAAAATCCTATGATCATCGACAGAAAATATATACAGTTAAATACATGGGGCATAAAATCCTACGACCATCGACAGAAAGGATATTCAATTAAACTTAGGTCTCGCTGGGAATGGCCCTATGAGACAGGCATTGTAAGTACACAGATATTTCAGTTACAAAAAGATATTCAGTTAAAAAGTGACAAATAACTGAATGAAACTCAGACTATATATTTCAGTTACAAACAATATTTCAGCTTAGGAATGGAGTGCATAAATCAGACTAGATAGATAACACTACTGAAGCTTACAAGCAAATACATGGGGCATACAAAGATGAAGAACATGCAATCCTTCAAGTAAATATGAAGACCAAATGAATGATTTACTTGTTATTCTATTTGACCCCAGTATTTGTCATGCATACAAAATACATATGTGCATTATAGTTGCTATCAAAAAGACATTGTAAACCTATCTTGGTTGTAAATTACTGTGATGTAAGGTGCCACCAAAAAAAGTATCTCCATCTTGAAATTTAGATTTTTATTGACACTATACATAGGTCAGACAAAACATTGTAATTCAAGCAAAAAACAGTAGCTTTGCTTAAGAACATGATACTGAGTACTTGCAATTTATCTTAAAATTTCAGGATCAAGAAGCTGAAGGAAACAAAGGCGAAGTAAGAATGCGAGGATGAGTCATACATGAAAGATGAAGAGCATGCATCCCTTCATGTAAGCCAAAAATATCTTCTTGTGATAAAGAAAACAAAGATCAGGTTGTTGTATCTAAATGGTTTGTAAAATATTGTATTTACAGAATAGGACGTACACATTTACTGAACTTCTTTAGAATGGGGCACAAAACTGATAAGAATACAAAAATATTCAGGTAAACTAGAAGTGACACATTACTGAAAATTACAACCCAAAACCACTTTACATTCAGGCAACCAAAAAGAGAAGGAATACACATTACTGGGCAAAAATGCACATTAAATTACAGTGCATATTTTTAGTCTAAATATCTTCAGTTAAGTAACAATGATTCAGACTATAGTTTCAGTCTTTTATTAATCTATCTTACACTGAAATTTTACATTGCAAACACTACCATTACAAAGGGAATTCACTGAAAGTACATAGGGATTTATAGTGTAAGTATGAATATTAGATTGACTGAACCTATTCTTTGCACAAGTGAGAAATCTGAAACCCTTCTTTTACTTGTGCTGCTGCTACTAGTACAACCTAAGCACTAACAACAATTGAGCAAGAAATATAGTGCAGGACGAAATTCTGCGTTGCCGACCGGCGAGGCTGAGCAGCAGGTGGCGGATGCGAGCGCTGGACGGTGAGAGCAGAGTCACTTAGAGTGAGTGTAGTTGTGTCTTGCTTGACTTGACTGATGAATCACATGTCACTACGTACGTACTAGTTTTGCTTGACTTGACCGACCAAAGTTTAAACTATGATTAGCATCCACTGACCCGGCAAAAAGGAGATTAGCCTTTAATGATGACCATACATATGCTAGTACTTGAAGCAGGCAAAAGTATATGGGAAAGAAACGCATTGGATGCCCTACTCTGCTCTGCCCTCCCCTCTTGCTGGACCAGATGCATTCATTCATTGACTGGAATCATTCAATGTGGGTTAGTGAGCACTAAACAAACAATGAGGATTGTAGGTGGGCAGAGGCTGTAGGTTGCCGTGGGTGTGTCGGTGAACAGAGAAACGATATGGGCATAAACACAAGGAGCTCGCGGGCACGCGGACGAGAGCTCACCTCGTGGATGAGATGAGATGGTACCGCGCTTGCTTCCAGTAACAGCAGGCGGAGGAGGGATAGGACGACCGTGCGCGCAGCTTCACATCGTCCTTGCCCGCCGCTCGGTTCGGTGCCTCCTCGCCGTCCGCTATCCTCATACCAAACACATCCATCCATGGCTTCAGGCCCACACCTTGCAGCTTCTCCATGGCCCACCACCTTCCTTCAACTACCTGCACACAACCACGCGAACACACACACGCATCAGATCCGGGGAAGAAGAAGAACCGGAGGAAGAAGAAGATGCTACTTTTGGAGGGGATCAATCGGCGTTAGAGGTTGGACACCGCGGCTAGGGATGGAAGGAGGAGTCGTCCCCCTCTGCTGGTGCCTCGTAGTGGAGAAGGATGGAGCTCCCGCCGACGGTGGACCTCTGGTGGTCGCCGCAGCCCGACCACGGTGGCGCGCCAAAGGAGGCTCCTCCAAAGCGGACGACGAGAAGATGAGCTGGGGGAGGTGGAAGGAGACGCGGGTTAGGGCGCCGGCGTCCCTGTCTCCGTCATTTGGGGGCGGAGGAGGCATCTGCGGTGTGGGCAAGATTGGTTGGGGGAGGGGCGGTGGAGAGGGTGGGGCAAGGGACAAGGGAGATAAGGTTGTGGTGCGGTGCCACTAGCTGTAGCGCGGGCCACGGGTGCTTCGCTATTGCTAAAGTGGGGTACATTAGCTGATCCCGTCAATTTATAGTAGTAGCGTGGGAATTGCAGACCGCGCTAGTACTAGAAAATAGTACTACCTCTCTGTTAGTTTACAGGGCATGCGCGTACTTCTAGATTGTCAATTTGACCAATCTAATACAAATCATATATTACAAAAAATATACCAACATAAACTTCGGAGTTTCTACTTTCAAAAGATATAATTTTTGTGCTATATAGTTTATATTAGGGTTATAAAATTGCAACCTAGGTATACGCGCAGGACTTGTAAACTGAAACGGAGGTAGTAGTAGCGCAGCTTTTATACTCCTCGCTACTACTATAAGCTGTCCTGGGAGGATATTTAGTAGTAGTGTGGGAACGGTAGACCCGCGCTACTACTATTTTTTAGTAGCAGCGCACTGTTTTTACCCGTGCTACTACTAAATAGTAGTAGCCCAGCTTCCATTCCCACGCTGCTGCTATTGCTCTGTCTATAAGCTTTTTCCTAGTAGTGGGAGGATGCATTACGGAATGAGTAAAGAGACTTTGCCGATAATGAGATTGAACTAGGTATGAGGATGCCGACGATTGAATCTCGGGCAAGTAACATACTGATGACAAAGGGAACAACGTATGTTGTTATGCGGTTTGACTGATAAAGATCTTTGTAGAATATGTACGAACCAATATGATCATCTAGGTTCCGCTATTGGTTATTGACCGAAGATGAGTCTCGGTCATGTCTACATAGTTCTCGAACCCGTAGGGTCCGCACGCTTAACGTTCTGTGACGATTTGTATTATGAGTTATGTGATTTGATGACCGAAGTTTGTTCGTAGTCCCAGATGAGATCGGGGACATGAAGAAGAGTCTCGAAATGGTCGATACATAAAGATCGATATACTGGAAGCCTATGTTTGGATATTAGAATGGTTCCGAGTGGTTTGGGCATTTTTCCGGAGTACCGGGAGGTTACCGGAACCCCTGGGAGAAGTTATGGGCCTTATGGGCCATAAGAAGGAAGCACCCCAGCCCACAAGGGGCTGGTGCGC